GAATGCGTGCCGCGGCAAGGGAAGGCATTCCCGGGGCTTCCGAGGAGCTCTGCGCCCTTTCCTGGGGGTCGCCTTGCGTCCATTTTGCTCCCCAGGGAGAAGGATCGGATCTTGTGGTTGTCATCCCGAGCCCGGCGGGGGCCGCTTCCGGCCGCCCCGACTGGGAAATTCCCGCCGTTGCCATGGCGCCCGGCACTTGTTGCGGGGGGCGAGGGGGGCTCCCAGGTCTTAGGCCGGAGCGAGCCTTCGTCCCTCCCGAGAGGCCGCGAGAGGGGACCTCGAGGCTCCCCGGCCCCTTGCCACGTCCCCGCCAGGCCTTGCTTTGCTTCTTCGACAAACAAAACAAAACAAAACACAGAAACAAGCAAGACCCAGGGGACCCCAATCTTGAGCAGAGTTAAAGACATCTACTCAAGGAGGCGAGGTTATAACTGGACTTTCTGTTTCAGATTTCAGGTACTCCGACTCCACCTTTACTTTCACCTACGTTGGCGGCCCCAAAAGGTATTTCTGTGTATAGAGTTGCTTCATTTCCTGTTCACACACTTGCTTGTGTTTTCCTTTGTTCTTAGGACGTTCCGCGTTCGGGTATTTGTTGTTGTTGTGGTGGTGATGTTGCTTTTTAGTCCCGTCCCAACTCTCTCGGCTTTAAATAGCGGAGGGAAAAAATGGTTGATTCAGTGTTTGTAAAACCATGTCACAAGCAGTGAGCCAGGGCTCTTGCACGCTGGATGTTACAGTGTTGTACTACAGTAGTAGTTTGTCTGGGAAGACGTTTTGTGGGTGTCAAGCGGGGTTACTCGGTATGAAGTGACATGCATGAAGGAGCTCAGAAGTCACAAAGCAGTTTGATGTCAAATAATGATCTTGGGGAATTGAGGCTGCCGAAGGTTGACATAGAGAAACCGGCGTCCAGTTCTCAGGGATTTTTCTTTAGGGAGTGGTGTGTTGAATTTCACATTTGGCGACAGGAAAGAATGTGGAGCAGCCTCTGTGGCTGGGAGTGTGGGGCTTTTCTCTCTTTGGGGGGAAAAACAGAGATGCATAGTTTATTATTAAATTACTAACAGTGTTAAAGAATCCTCAGTCCAATTCTGTATTTCGGAGACTGGGTTAAAATGAAAGATAGCCATTAAAATGTGCCTCTTGTTTGTTTAAGTGACAGGTAGGATTTTCTCCCCTGTAGCCCTTTGTGGGGCCACAGAAGTTTAAAAGAACAGTGACCACTATAGAGGGCTGTCAAAGATACAGCCTTCAGGGATTCCTCTGACCAGCACTGCTGTTAGGACTTGACTGCTGAGACTTACTCAGCTTGCAAAATATCTCATAGCTAATGGCAACATTTAAGAATATATAAACTGCAAAAGAAGCTTTCTTCCGTAAAAACAGTTTTTTAAAAGCTTGCCGTTTAGGTGAACCTTTAAAGCACATTGACTTGTGTTGCATTCTGCGTTTTCTCAAACAAGTTTTATGAAAAACAGTTATAAACTCAAACTTGAGAACCAGTGT